CATTTCGAATTGTTGGTTTGCTTGAACGCACCACCCTCGTTCGGGCAGAAAATGCAGCTCGGTCGAGAATTTCCCACAAGTTGGCATTTCCTGCATAGCCACTGCCCTTCGGGAATATACGGTACACCGTAGCACTCTTGATGTACTGCAAGGTCACAGCCGTCACAGAACACTATAGCATTCGCATTCTCACAGTCACCGTCGTCGCATATTGCGCATTTGCTGTCGGGCTCTTCACCGGCGGGCTCGCCGTTGACTGCGGCGGCGGAACTCGATCGCGGACGCTGCGTCTGAGGCGCCTTGGGATTGGGCTTCGGTATCCTCTTTTCCAAAGCATGCCACTCCTTTTCGATTTTGGTCATGGTAATCTCAAATATTGCAGGTTTTATGGTCTGGACGCCGTCTTTGGTCCTCCCTTTATTGAAAGCCTCCAGCCACCTAACATCCTGTTCGTCCATGTCATACTCGACCCGTCCAACCCCAGTACTACCAATGGCAGAATTCTCTCCGTGTGTCATAAGGTCTGGACTGAGATCGAGGTCTTCTTCCGCAGAACCTTCCATTTGTCTAATGAGCGTCCTCTCCGGCCGCAGGAAGATTTCGCTCTCTTGGTATCCAACGTTTGCCATAGACTTGTCCACGAAATCGACCTGCGCAATGTCCTTATTTAGTTCGTAAGACAGGAACGGATCGAGTTCTCGGTATGAAGGTTTGGGCAAGGTGAGGCGTTCTCGCGGATTCGGTCCTGGCATAGGTACAAATTTGGGAACTTCAGGTGTCAGAAGGGCGTTGACCATCGAGTTCTGGGTGCGATGGGGTCTTCCAGGTCGCCTCTTGAAAGGCGTGGAAGCCCCGTGCGCAAAGCCTTCGCCCTCCGTCGGCGTCAGGGCACCTTGGCTAGACGCATCGGGCGTGGGTTTCTTGACAAGACCATCTATCTCTTCCGAGGGCAACACCACAAAGTCCGCGTCAAGGTCCAGATCGGGGTGAAACTCTTCCCAGCCGCGCTCTTCTCGGGGCTTGTACCCGTCTCCATGTGTCACTGCAGCAGAGGCCGCGGCTGCTGTACTGTATCGTGGCCGTGTGCCGCCTCTATTTCTACTTCTGGCCGAATATCGCGGGGTAGAGATCATCGTCTTTTTAGGGTTGCGGCTTTGTCTCGTGCGAGTACGGGGAAGCGCGTACTCTTCGTCTGCGTTAGGTGTCCTCGTAGTGGAAGGGGTACTCTCGTTATCAACATGTCTGCCACCACCTCCTCGGCCTCCGGGTGTCCACTTGAGAGAAGGCGGCGCCCTGCGCGACGTGCGGATGCGTTTCGAGGGAGGTTCTGCGTCCTGGAAATCTGCGAGATCTTCCTCGTCCGAGTGGTTGAAGTCTTTTGATACCTTTTTGACTTCTCTGCGCGGGCGCGTTCTTGCCTGCGTAGACCTCAGAGGGCCCATCCTGCCAGCACGGCTGGCTGGCGGTCGACGCGACTGGTTAAGGTCAACCCTTGACTAGGAGGCGCAGGTGGACTTGGGATTGTTTTCCTGCACGTGGGATGCCATTCAGTCTGCTTGATACGGCGCAGATTGGACCACAGGTGGGAAAGCTCGTAGAGCGGTCAAGAACAAGCAGTAGAAGATGCTCTGGAGGGTGTTCTGTAGCCACAATGTGTTGTGGTGCTTTTTGGATGTCGTCGCTTCTAGATGGCGATCCCCAGTCGATTTGGTTAAGCGCGACTTGCAGGGTCGAAGGTGTGGATCTACTTTGGGCTTGGCACCGTATCTGTGGGAAGCAATTGCCCTGTGCATCTTGAACTCGCCATCTCTACGAACATTGGCAGTCACGATTCACTCATTTCATTTTCTGCCTCTAACCCTCGATGAGTACCAGTGAAGAGTATGTGCATATCTCGTCAATTGACAAGTCTCCAACTTCTTGTAATGTACCAATTTGTGGTTATATGCTTACAAAATGACTCGTAATATTAGAAACCGCCCCGGACGCCGAGGAATCGATCCCCGAGGTGCGCACTCCAACCAGCACCGACAGTCCACTTCCGCGTCTGCAGCATCCCGAGATGGCAGCTCCAATACGCATCAAAACAGAAGAGGTGGAAGGGGAGGGTCAAACCTGAGCAGGTCCTCCGACAACCTCCAGAATGGGCCTTTGACAACCTCACATACTCTCCCGCCACAAGATGACCATGTCCCCCTCGCGGGGTTCAACTCAGACGTGGTTGAGGCGATGTTGAAGCAAGGCTATGAGGCTAAAGTACCTCTCTACAAGTCGGACACCAAATCGCAAGCAACAACTCCCCAGAGCCCGTGGGGTGTGAAGCGTGAGTAGCATCCCGTACAAGAGATGATGACTGTTAATATGGTTGAAGCTGGAGCCATGGCCAGTGGCAAAGATTTCTGGCTCGATCTACGCAGACAAATTACCGCCCTACAGCAAACAGGGGGTGTCAGTCAGGGTGGTTAGGGCTCGATTTCCGTCACGGTAGTTCCTTCATTTACTTCTCAGCTGCATCACGGAAGGCGTTCTTTCTGGTGCATTCTAAGATACCCAGGGGTTTGGCGCATTCTATCAGCATTGCCTGAAAACAATATGTACATTTGCAGCGAAACAATGTCCCGGCTACTGTGTGCTACTGCATGTATCATGGCCCCGGACCGTCTGGAGCAGTTCTGCATTGTGAGCACCTTGTATGGTTTGGCCCCTGTTCAAAATCGATTGCATTGTCTGGTGAAGGCTGCGGCTTCTTGCACTGTGCCTTTACTGGTATTCCCGTTCTAACCCCCCAAAAACATCAATCATCACTTCTCAGATATCATTGTGGCCGCCAAGATGTTGTGTTGGACGAATCACGACTATCTGGATGTAATAGGAAGTACAGTGAAATACCTTCTTCTAGCTAGAGCCTTCACAGGCCATCATCTACGGTTTTATTAGAGAAGCAGGCTGAAACAAACTGATGACCGGGTCAGGGATCATGCATTTGATGGCGAGTCTATCATGCTAGATCCGACATCGGCTCGATTGCTCTATTCGCAACGAGCTCTGATACAGAACGCTCTGAATCCGACGCTCTCTTGCTCGTATCATATCTTCGCTTTTCCGTAGCCCCTCGAAACTAAGGTGTCATACGGCACCGATCTAGGCTCCCTAGCATGATCGGTAATACACTGTGACCGGCCGAAGATTCTTGTCCGCACACATTCGGACGCTTGATTTCCTTGCCGATAGTTTGCATTCCTTTTGTGGGATCTCGGTCTCCACCGGCCTCTGACTATGCCACCATAGTGCTTGCGGTGGCACTCTCGTATTTCCAGTTCGGTTGCAAGACACCAACAGTCTTGTAGTATCTGCTCAGGCGGTGGATTCTCGATTCGATCAAAATGAGCCGGAATTTGGAGTCCTTGTCCTTGCGGTTGCGCTCAAGGTGTTTGCGGACGGCGACAGCCTGCAGATAACAATAACCCAGGTCAGCCAAATCCCGGGTCACAATGAAACTTCATATTGCATGTTCGGGGCTGGAGTTTGGGTAATGCGCACCTTTTTGATCAAGAAGTAAAGGTCTTCGGGGATTTCTGGTGCAAGACCTGTGTAAAGTCACTCTGTCAGTCTCACAGGACCAATATCAGAGGCAGCGCCGAGAGTTTGTTCCAAAGGGTGGTGGTGAAGATTTAAAGCAGCTTCTTGCTTGTTTCTCTCTCTCTCTCTCTTTTTTCTTTCTCCCCTCCGCTTATTCATTTCTCACACCCAGGCTAATCGAGGCATGTGCGTACCGTTCGATTTCAGAATTCTCAGAATCTTGTTACCTGCAAACCACGAAATCAGTCAGCCACTGTCACGCAAACACCGGCGCACCCATCAAGACCACAACATGGTGTGAGAGAACATACCAGTGACGACTTTGACTTGCGCGACACCATGGCTATCCCTCAACACAACACCAATCTGCGAGGGCGTAGCACCTTTCCTGGCGAGTTTGCAGATGTTGTCGACTACGGTCTCGGGAGTAGATTTGAACCAGGTGGGCACGGAGCGCGAGTAAGGGATCGCTGAGGCGCTGATGCCTTTTCCTTTGCTATGAAGACGACCCATGATAGCTGTGGCTGTGAGAATTGACGCAATGGAAGAGGGAATGTCTGATCTGAAGAAAAGTCGTAGGGTGCAGATTTCCAGATGCGCTGGCTCGGAGTTGTGTGGTGGGTCCGCCAAGAAGCGCAAAATCTTGGCGGGTACTTGAAATTTGGGGGGCTTCCAGCGCCATTACCGAACTTGAACCACAAAATCTCGAATCTCTCAGGGGTGTTTTGGACTCTTTCCTGACAACCAATATCGTCACCCCTCGAATCCAGTGTTTGTCTCTGAATGTGGCAGCCGTGCTCTCCTGAAGTCGGGTATAATGCAGTGCATAAGACAGCCTCACCAGTGACGGCGAGCGCATGCAGGTATGTCCTGAAGTCGATCTCATATTGTTTCTACATCCTTGCATGATGACAAACACTACGAATTCTTCATAATTTCTGGTACCTCTTATGTCAGGAGGGAAGCCCAGCAGGGTTCCCTTCGATGATCTACATGGACTTCTGAACTATCACTCCCTCACCCTCGGCTGCCGCATTTCCACTCTTCGTTCGGGAATGGAGACTAACAAGCTGAGGCAGGTAGGATGTGGTTAGATCCTCATGATGAATACTGCGATATGAATGACTGAATATTGTGGTTGTGCGGCTTATGATGGCGTCTCGGTCTTTCGCTACTCAAGTCATGAAGCGGCCATGCACGGCCCACAATGCTTGCGCCTTTCTTTTCGCTATGAAATCGAAATATTTTTCCTTTTGCCATACGTACAATGCCAGATTCTCCCTTGGAACCCAGATAAATAACCGGAGGGTATCAAATTTTGGATCCCGGACCAAAACGACCGAGCCCGCCCCAATGCCAACTCACTTACAAACGCCGGCATTATGCACTCCCCAAAGGCTTGAGAGTGAACCTACTCTTTATCACGATGTCCCTCCCATCTCAGTATCAGCATCTCTTGATGTGTCTCCTGCTCTCGCTGCCTCTTCTTCTCCCTCCTTGACTCCATTAATAGCAGGCTCTTCTGTTGCGGGTATGGGTTGCGGCGCAGTCTCCTCTTCAGCTACTTGTGGGGGTTGCGGCTGTTCTGCTACAGCGTGGCTCGCTTCGCTCATGGTAACCTCAGACTGTAGTTCGGTAGGCTCTTGTTGTGGCATGGGCGTCTGCTCTGGTTGCGGCATGGGCGTTTGCTCTGGTTGCGCGGACGGTGAACGATGCGGAGGTTCAGCTGGCGGTGCGGCAGCTGGTGAGGCAGCCGCTACATCTGCGGACTCTTGCGGTTTTGGGTCTTCAAACTTATAGAGGAATCTTTCGCGAATATTCGTCCGGTCCGGGTTGCCTTCGTAGAGGATCGACTGATGGATGAGGCATTCTCCTAGCCACTGGAGAGGAAATTCTGCTCTGTTGCGCAAAAAAAGCGAATCAGCATGAATGTTCGGCACAGAAGTCCCTCGCCTATGCAGGCAAAGCATGTTATTCTTCTCCGTCCATCCTTAACTAAGGAACACGTACTCGGCATCCAAGCTTTGCGTGATGGCCTTCTTCAAGAACGGCGCGACTCGTGTGTTCAGGTAGTCCCTCAATGGTACTTGTTGTCTGTCGCTAGCAGTGTTCACTACCACCATGGGAGAATTATGCGTGGAGTGCGACATCCCGATCAGTCTCCCGTGTCAAACAGAAGGTGGTCAGAGATCAATTATGGCCATGTATGCTTTGACCCAAAGTGAACACCCCGAATTCCCTGTCCATTTTCAGACCCGAACATCTGCCGCCCGACAAGTCATGGCCAAGCCATTTTTGACCTGTGGCTATGGTGGCTATGGTGGCTGTGCAGTCCTCAGCTCAGCTTGGCGGCTCGGCGGGCCCGAGTCCGGGGTCCAGCCTCGCCAGGTTCCATTGATTGATACTCTCGTCCAAGAAATCGAGAAAGGATGTTTTAGCAAGTGCTGCAATAGGTAGTTGGAACAGCTGTCTCTAATTACTTTTTGGCATATCTAGGAGACTTTAGAGCTCACTGGAAATGAGTATCCTTGATATACACCATCCCATAAGTACTCATGTAACAGTTAGCGTTAAAGGACACGTCGCCTGCAGGGCGGGTAAGTGCCACTGGTGTCGATGCTCTGCTGCTGTTTGTCGCACGCCAGAATCTCGAAAACGGCTATGAAATGTTTATGTTGTCAACTGAGTCAAACAAACCCCGTCCCCAGCGGTCAGCCAGGAAAGCTAATAGTCGGTAGCAAGTGGACGTGGGTGTAGATTAAAGAGGTCGTAGCGAACTGCTGTGCCCAACTCGGAAATATGTACTGTTCTTGGTCCTGATTCTGAAGAGTTCAATAGTCCCAATGCCTCTCCGAGCTGGCATGAGCAGGTCCTGTGAGATTTGCTAGGTTGACCCATTGCGATCGCACCCAGTCAGTCTCACAGGAACCAGAAGCACACCACACGAAGTCTCACGTTGCCGTCCATCATCACGAGGTTGGGGGCAGGCTTGATTCAACGACCACCCCTGCTGTTTAATCAAGATCATCATGGATCCCATCACAGTTTCAGGTAATGGGAAAATTGAGTCAACATAACAGAAATGACAGTCACCACATGAGATCCCTTCGCAGATTCAGCTTCCTTTACCCTGTTATTTGTGGGTGTAATGCAATGTGCTGCCAATGGTTGGTATTCTGCTGGAAGCGATATGCACGATAATCCTAGCCCAGGAAGAGACATCGCGGCGCTCACCCAAAAGTGTCAAGTGCTCACAATGTACCTTCGCCTGGTGGATATCGGTCATCTGCATCTAGGCTATGGGCGATGTGCTTTGCCCTTGTTGACCTTGTCGCTCGAGCGCCATACCCACAGCTGCTGCGCATGATCCAAGTTGAGGTATCTCTCAAGGATCAGAGTGTGTTTCAGGACCGTGGATAGCAAATGCTGTTCACAAATACCCCCAGGCGTCACAGCACATAAGTTTTCCATTGAGGAATCGATCTCGATCCTCGTTGACGACGCCTTTGCATGTCTTTGATTGCCACCACCACGATTGTCTTCCGGATCGGGGCTGCTTTGGTTCGCCTTAGAGTCCTTGGGAACGCCTGTCGTGGGAGGGCAGGGGTAGGGTGGGTTGCGGGTTGGAAATCGCTCGAGACTTGCCCTCAGATCGAAATGGGTAAATGAATTTCCTCTTTCTCTTGGACCAGGCCAGGTCAACACGAGGAAACATTGCCACGTGTAAAGGCGAGACTGGAAGGAATGTGAACCTAATTTCTCGCGATCAGCCTTTTGGCAGGACTCTTGTTCGTCGAGGCTAGGAGTCGGTTAGATGCCGTGAGCGGGACAAAGGACAGCACCTGACGGCGATTTGATGCAGCAAGAGCTAAGATGACGAGACTAGCGTAACGATGAATGCATGTAACTGCTCACTAAAAAGTGAGGCGAATATATGTTTAGCTTCCCGAGGCCAGCGGGAGGAGTGCTCTGGTAGGGCGCAACGTGGCTCTGCACATCTGCCCAACTTCCGTCATTGTTGCGTTGGCGCGTTTTGGCAGATCCGAGGCTTGCAACAAAGAGCGGTCAGAGCGACAGCAAAGACGTCTATATAAGAACGGCCCGTCGCGCGAAAGACTGTGCGAGAGTAGAAGTGAGCGGAGGAAGACAGCGAGGGCGGAAGGCTCATCATGTCACACCCACCAGCACCAGCACCAGCACCAGCAGCGGTGGAGTTGATGGCTTTGTGTCGTCGGAGAAGTCCTCTCCCTCACACGGTTCACTGCGCAATTTCACCTCCAGATTGAAAGTGCCCCTCGCCCTCGACTGATGTCCGCTGACATTGGCAAGGCGAGTTGAGTGAGTTGATTCGGGGCCAGTCGCCACAGACAAGGCTGCGACACGGAAAGGGGGTCCATTTATTCGCAGCGCAGTTGTTGGACGCCCGGCCACGAGGCAGTTGTGATTGAGATGTGAGATGCTGAGGGTGGTTGGGCAATTGGGCGAGATGGCGAAATGGCGAAGCGTCACAGCCGGGCACTTTCGAAGCTTGGGCAGCCTACAGCTCCTGATTCGGCGGCTCGTTGAGCCCGCAACACGGCATTCGGGCTCCCCATTTGCTTCCCATTCGATCTTCAGCGCCCCCGACGGCAAGTTCGCTGATTTGCGGGCTGCCCGGCCTACGCCTCCACTCGCTCTATCAAAAATCCCAAAACTACGAAGTCCTAGAGGTACCTGGGTAGGTAGGCAGTTGCTTCTGCGCTCGCTCAGGCAACTGTGAGATTGACGGGCGAAAAGGCCTCTCCAATTTTCGGCATGCTGCAGGGGCGCGGAGCCTGCGTTGCGGCGTGCCGAATGCTGCGAACCCCCGAGTTGAGAAGTTGATGGGGAGGGGGGAAGCAAGGGGAGAGTGAGTTAATCATGAAGACAGAGCTTGCGCACCCAAGACATGGCTGGGCTTTGGCGGGCAAGAGTGGGCTAACCGCAACAGCACTGGATTGCTGCAGGAGACTCACCTAGACACAGGATTCTCCCACTTGTTCCCACCATTGCGCCCTCCATCCTGCATCTCAGTCCTCCTTGCCTCTACACCTGCATCCACCCGCGCTGTGCTCGACGGAGCCTAGCCTGCTGCATAGCTTGTCGAGAGTTTGCAGCGTTAGCTGGTTAGCACTCACCAGGCGCAGCTTCAGCGCGACCAGAGCATAGTGAGCAGCGACTCACAGCGCCGCCAGCAGCACCACTTGACCAACCCAAACCTAACTGAACCAGCATCCAGCATCTTTGACCAGAAACTACCACAGTACCACCAGACCTGACCTCCCGACCTCCCTTGCGCCGCGACCGTACGGAACCTTCCCTCAGACATCCTCCTCCCGACTCTAATTCCCTTGCTCTCACGCGCAGATGGCCACCGCCCGGCCACTCACAACGCGCCGTTGCATGTCTTGCAGCTGCGGCCGACATTGGTCGACCCGCGGCTCCTGATCATCTGCCCACTGACAATCGCTAGACTGCTAGACTGTTCGATGCCCAGTTGCTCTTCCCAAATGGCTAACTTGGAATGATTCCCCTTCTGCGCCTGGCTCAACTGGCCTCGAAGGCAGAAGGACCACCAGACCACCAAGGCCTTCTGTTCAGACTCGAGCGTCCTGGTCCTGACCTGGAATTTTTGTTCTGCCTTGTCGCTTGAATGGGCGAACCAATCTACCACTCTTAAAAAAGGTCTCTTACAGCCTCCCGGCCAGGTCACCCACAAACCCACTGTCCTTTCCGTCCTCTGTGCACCGTGAGTCGAGGTCAGAACAAGTTCTGCAGTTACACTCGGATCTGGATGAACAGCGCTGCGGAACCAACCCTACCTATATGCCGGCCACTATTGCGCGCTTGATGACAGTCACATGCATCCCGTCCCTTCCAAGATTCAGCTTGCGCTCCGCTCCCTCCCTTCCCGATGTCAAATTTGTTCCATCAACCATGGACAATTTCGGAGCAAATCGTCTTGTTGACCAACATTATTCAGAGCACGGGGCAGGATGTGCCGGCATTTCTGGTGCGCGCCATGGAGAACGGCAATATACAACCCAGATGGGACGAGGTTGCTCTGCCAGCAGGTATGTAGGCTCGAGAAAGGAGGGCGTGCCCGCCGCGAATCCGTGCGAGATAGTCCCGAACCCCGTCCCCAATAAACGCCCAATGTCTCTCGCTCCTGGTCGCGAAATCCATAGACATGCGCTGACCTCGTGTAGGCCGCACTCCTAGTGCCTGTCGGCATATGTACAACTTTTTGCGTAGTCAATCCCGCTCCTTCCCAGGGCCGGGACACCCAGGTTTTCCTCAGCAACCGCTTGCGCCGTACCCTCCCGAAATGAGAGCAGTGTCTGAGTCTGATTTGCCCCAGCCAACACAGCGTCCGATTCAGCCTCGTCCTCCCCGTTCGACAGACTCGCCCATCCCTCCTACGACCAATGGAGAGGGCTTCCGGATCTTGCGTCCTTTCACTCATCCTGAGCCGCCTGGGGAAAAGCGCAAGAAGCGAGGCCGTCCGACGAAAGAAGAGGCAGAAGAACGCGACCGGAGGCTTGCAGAGTCCGGGCAGACTTACGAGCCGAAGAGGAGGCCCGCGAAGAAATCGAGGCCGTCTGGAACCCCTAGCTCGTTTGCTGAAGCTCCTCCTCCCACATCACCCGTCATGCAGACGCCACTCTTGCAGCACGTCGGGCCGGGGGAGGAGACGTCCAGCGGGAAGAGACGGTCCAGGCGCCAGCGCGAGGAGGGAGAATCATCTCGCCAGGCGCTTTCTAGGTCTCCAGGAGACGAATCAGGTGATGGACGGAGTACCGACGCCGCTCAGAGTCCTTCCGACAGGCTTCTTGCGAGGCCAGAACGAGCTCAACAAGCTGCTTCCGTCGCACGAGATGTACAGCAAGTATCGAGCCCGAGTCTTGAGGCGCAACCAGAAGCGAAGCAGGACAATCCACCATTCGGTCCTTCATCCGCCTAATTGTCACCTATGAAGGGGCTATAGCGAAATATGGCCATTGACGCGCACGCCCATCTTCACACATTTACGCAGACTCTTCTTCGAACCAATCCCACGACGAACATCCAGACCTTTTCACCCCATGAGCTACGACTATAGAAAGTGGAAGATACATGTGTATATGATACC